AGGTCATGGCGGCAGCTTCCCTCTGAGAGGCACAGGTGCTCAGGTGAGACACGAGTCTAACGCGCAGGGGGTCGGACGTGTCGAGACCTTCCACCGAAGTCAGGTACCTCGCGACTTCTGTCAAGCACTCCCGGAAGCCAATGCTCATGAAATCCATGGCCAGGGAATGAGCGTCAAAATAACCTGCAAGAGGAGGGCAAAAGATGCGTTGAGTGTTGAGCTGGCTTCCCAGCCATCGTTAGGTGACATGGCTAACCCGGTCCTCGCTCAGCCACCGGATCTCCCATTTACAGGTTAAGATTTGTAACGCGAAAAGTTTGTTCCCTGAGCTGTAAATTATTTGTGTGACCATCCCTGTAATACAATAGGCTGCAGTTGTTTTTGCAGACAATGTACAAATGCAAAGAATTAAGTCCATAAGTACTCATGATACTTAAAAAGACACATGATGCCTCTCCTGAAATTCCTCAGCAAGCTGCTGCAATGCAGTATCGATCCTGCCCACGTCTGTGAACGAGACATTTAGCCACACAAAGAAACAGGCTGGAGATCAGAGAGCTTGCATGTACTACCCTGCCTTTTCTCCCCTACACTGGCATTCATCAAAACGCTTTCAAACTACTTCTTGACATTGTGAGATAGTTCTTGTAACTGCTGTCGGGGTCCCATCTACTTCACAGAGTCATTAAGACAGTATGACATACGGTGTTACTTAACTACAAACTAAAAACATCTTGTCATGACTCTGCACACACACAATAAAAAGCTTTACTGAGAAAACGTTTTATGCAATGCCATTGCTAATTTGGAGATGGAAGACTGACAGTCATATGGCCCGTGAGGTATTTCAACAAACAGCAACTGGAGCTCCACAGGCTTGGGACAAAAAAGCATTTGAAAAAAAAAAATAAAATTGTCTTATTAAATGCACATGAAAAGATATTCCATTTCTAAAAGGCTCTAGCATCAAATCTAGTGTTTAAGTTGCAGCTCTTCAACCACAAAAATCTATTCCAGTTTTTGGAATTTTCCTATTTTAGTTTAAAAGTAGTCTCCTTAGGGGAATATTGTCCTATCCACCCCCAGGCTGGCATGGTGTTTTTTCTATTTGCTTTCAGTGAAAATTTTTTGGTACGCGTGACTATGATGCGTGCTAGTATATAAAGATCAAGTGCCCTTATCATGGAGGAACGTGGCAGCCATACCTGCATTAGGCCTTGCACTCTCTGGCATGAAATAATTGCCGTCTTCCTGAAAAATGCTAGCACCTTAGATGGCTTTTTTCATTTATATCAACTTCCAAGCTAGAAAGGAGCGTTTCCGTCGCTGCAGTCCCGTATGGTGGAATTAACCCAGGCACATTTACAGATGTCGCCCCACATCCCCTGCCCGCGATACACCCCTTCTTGCCAAATTCCAACGGTGTTTTTGCTGCAGCCCGCCTTCCTCATCTGAGGCTGCAGGAAACCCAAGAGAAACACTGGCTTGGCCAGCAGCTCAGTGAGCGTGAGGGCTCGAGGACTCGTGTCAGCAAGCACTGATTCCTCCCAGCTATTTTTCCTCCCAGGTCCACTGCGACCAAGCGATCTGTGGAAAAGCTGTGGTTTGAGTGAATTCCTGACAAACAAATGCCAGGCAGGCCAGCGGTGGTGGGCTATAGCAGGGTACCTGCTCGGGTGCCAACCAGCCTGGCGTGGGGACTGCATCCATGCCGGAGGCCCCAGGACCTCCGTCGGCTTCAGAGGGGCTGACACGCAGCCAAAACTGCCTCCGGGCTCGGGCCACCAGTCAGCCAGCCTGGGAGTCCTGAGAGCGAGCGGCTCAAGCCAGGGCTTCCCGGCCTCCCTCCCTCCGGACCAGAGGAGACGTGGGGGATGTGGTTGTCACCAGCTTCCCCCGAGTCTGAGCCACTGGCTCTGTGACGAGACGTCCCAAAGCCCTGGTGATCCTGGCTCCCTCTCAGTCTCCTATGGTGGCCGAGACATAAAAACAGAGAGGAGATGAGAGCTGGGACTCCCAGGCTCCATTATGTTTTGATTTTGATGGTTATCTTTTCCAGGTTTCCCCTTTGCTGGCTTCCCCCTTCCGAGAGACTTAAAAATGTTGTTTCTTGTTTCTTTCCAAAACCCAAGAACATCCTCCACCACCACCCATGCGCGTACACGCCAGCGTTTTGTAGTGAATGGGAAGTCTCGGTTTTACTTCAGCTATCCTGGTAACCAACCTGCTCTGCACGCAGGACACTGGTTCAGTCATTTGAGCTATATTAACCCACGTTGCTGACCCAGGTGTCAGTCACCCACGCTAAATTTGCAGTGAAGCTGCAATAAAACCACACTGAGGTCCCAGCAAGTGACTCGCTGTTGACAAATTACTCCTCGCCTGTGCTTGCTTGCACTGTCAGCGAAAAGCCCTGGCCCCAGGCCAAAATAAAAACTCAACGTGAACAGGAGACCATTGCCTGCACCTGAGATCAGGGCAGTGGAAAGACGGAGTTCAGGCAGGACCTCAGAGGCAGCAGCCTGCCTGCCCGGGCAGCTCTGAAAAGCAGAGAAGGGACAGGAGCCACGTCGAGTTTTCTTCCGCCATCCCAACCTCGGGCTCGGCATGCTGAGCACTGGCCAAATCCACCCCGGCTTGCCTAGCCCCAGGCATTCCCCGTCGTGAGTGTCCTCCATTTCTGCACGAGGAGGAAGAGGATGAGCTCTCCTCAGCCCTCAATGCAGGGGAGCGTGAGGGAATCGGGACCCATTTCTCCCTGCTGCGCTAATAACTTTTGTCCATAGGAAAAATGATGGAACTCATTTTTTTGCTGATCCAAACAAGTTTTTGGCTCAGAAGATGAGTTACAAAGCCGGAATAACTACACTTGCAAATAAAACAAACATTTGCCTTAAAAACACTCTAAGAAATGATATTTAAAGCTGTTACTTAGGTTGCAAGGTAAAACATTAAGCAAGCAGGAAACGCAGGCTTAAACTTTGCCCGGTACTAACTTACAAACCTCTTTTTCTTAAAGTTTCTTAACCTGCGCAGTGAGATTACCCTTATCTCTGGGTCAGAAGGAGAAGATAAAATTGTAGTATTTGTGAAGCGATCGGGTATTATATTGATGTGCGACGCACTATGGACCATGGTGTGGAAGGTGGCTGCGGGTATAAGCCAGCATCGCCTCTCCCTGCACCCCGACGCTTCGTCCTTCCCCGCATCGCCCTCCGGCAGCCGCAGGCCCAGGCACGCCGGCGTCGGCCGGGGCAGGGAGAGGGATGGCAGCGGTGGCAGACAAAGGAAGAGAACGCAGGACCTGGGACTGCTAAAAAATTCAGCTTGCCTGGCCAAAGCCAGAGGCCGGGAATCTGCCAACACCTCCCTCCGCCCAGCAGCTCCCATCCCACGCGCTTCATCTCCTGCCCCACTGTCTGGGCCGTCTGACCTGACCCAGTTATAAAATAATCCCCTGCATATTTTTGGGGGGCGGCGGAGGCAGGGGAAGGAGAGTTCCTATTAAATTAGACCTCCGATCGGGTTCAACTCCTGGCCCTCGCGCTGCCGGTGCGGACATCGGAGGGGTGGGAGCTGCTGGAGCTTTTCAGAGGAGCGACGTGCAGCGTGAAGCCCGGCTCAGGTTGGGTTAGCTGAGCTGCACGTCGTGCGGGGAGGATGAAGAGAAACAACCACCGCTTCCCTCAGCGGCTGAGCGTTGTTCGCCCCGTACACCAAGTGAGACAGAGCTCGTGGAAAGCCAGCAGGCGCCCACGCAACGGAACACAACACCGTCGCGCACACGCACGGAGGATCCGCGTTCAAATTGCACAAGCACGATCAAGCCTGGTGTTTCGGAACGTTCAAGAGCGTAGCTTTACCAACTAAAGAGTGCTTTCTAAAGGAGCGTTTTCGATATAAAAATTAACTTCTTTATTTTAATTGTGCACATTTTCCGAGGAATCAAGAGGCATGTCTGTTATATGAAGGGCAGTAAGATTCCTTTCACTTCTTATAGAACAAGATACCCGTAAATTTTAAGCTTAAATGGACCCCTAGCAAAAGCTTCTTAGCACCTAGAAAATACCTATGTCAGCTTGGTGTTAATTTTCACAAATAACAGAATACCAGCCTTCAACATGCTTTCCTATAACCATCTGTTATTAAGCATGCACCGATTATAAGTTGAGTCCTATAATCGCTGCAAGGTACAGAGAGGAGTCGTAATTCAATCATGGGCTAAGAACTTTAATCAAAAAAGGAGGAGAGAGAGCAGCAGCAGCTTCTTTTCTAGCCTTTACCTATACAGCATAGAGGGTCAATGAAAAATCGGCTGCTTTCCATTACGACAACTTGAACCACAATCACAGTCGATGGCACGGGACACGGGACCGTGTTTACAGGAGACCAGCAAGTTTTTCCCTCCAAGTACGTTCCAAAATCATGACTACACAGAATAATACCTCGTGGGTGGCTGAAATCATTTGGCCTCCAGCCCCGGGACTGTCAGCTTGCACAAGCGAGGTACGCTCGACGCCCGGCAGTCGGCCGCTGGAGTGGGTCAGCCAGTGCAGCCCCTGCGTCACGCCAGCACCCACGGCCAGGGAGCTACCCACACCGACCAGGGAGCTACCCACGCCGACCAGGGATGTGTGCAAGTGAGGCAAACGCCAACCCAGAGCACTGCTGGCCCACTGCCTCGCTGCTTGATCAGATACCTGGAGCTGCCTAAGAGCAAGACTGGGTTTTGTTCTGATGAATGAGATGGTCTAACCTGACATTTAAAAGTCTTTCCAGAACAAAGAAAATACAGAAACAATAATGAAAGTTCCTCTCCATCCACTTCCTTCGGTATAGCTGCTGGATAATGAGGTTTAGCATCGGTTTTGTGCTACACAATTGTTGCCACAAACCTCCTGTTTATGTTTGGTGTTTGTGTATTTGTTTTGTCTCCCTGTGCAGATTTCAGTGCTCTTTGGAAACCCCAAACAAATCTCTGACTGGGCTGCCTGTGAATGAAGCCTTTACTCCCACAGTGTTATGAAAGCAAACACAAGCCCAGGGTCAAGTGCTTCTTTTGTCCCAGTAGTTCTTTCCCACGAGTTCAATCCTGCCATTAGCATTGATTTCCACTCCTTTAATCTGGAAACGCCTATCACAGCTCCTCAAAGCACTTTTTTTGCTGAGATTTCCCCAAATATTAGAAAAGAAGCCGTCGGCTCCTTACCTTTACCTCCCGTCGCCTGCAGCATCTTCAGATGATCCACTGTCATTTGCAGTATTTCCGCTTTTTCTAATTTGGCAGATCCCTTTGAGATAAGAGACTCATATAAATAAAAGCTTACAAGTACTAGAAACTTTAATTTGATATACTTTCCACTGAGCTCAGCCTTATGGTTTCAATTTCCCCTATCATTAGGACATTCTCGGCTTAATTCTTTTGCGAGCATCTGCCTCCCAGACTTTGTCTAAGGACTAATGCTGTCTCCTCTCTACCGATACAAGCAGCAGCAGCACAATTTTGCTTTATTAAGGCTATCGCTCAGCGTAGCTCTGGCCTGCAAGCTAGTGCAGAGGTGACATCTTCATGAAATGAAATACGTAACTTTCTCGACTTTCTTTTTAACAGCAAACACAAATGGAGAGCTGGCGGGAGAGGTCTGCAGAGTCATCGATGAAGACCCTGCTGCAACGTATTTTTTTGTGCTTTTACCAGTAGATGTCCCTGTGGACACACACCCAGGAGGATGGCAATTTCTTAATCGCCTCTTAATTTTCGACATGGCAGTTGGCCGCTGAATATTCTATTCTCGCTCCTGACTGAAAAAACAACCGCACAGTCCACGGTATTTTAAGTTAGCGAGAGGCCTAATTTGCAGGGACATGAGGCTAAATACAGGGCAAAAGAAAGAGTTTAGCTCCTCTGTCAGTAAAAATTTTTTCTGTTACTGAAAGCGGCTCACAGAGCTACAATAGGTGCTGGAATAGTATAAAATACAATTCAAAAGGTGGTATTAATATCTTAATCTACAAATAAAACTATTTTGCATGGTAGCCCTCCCTGCAGTATCTGGAGCACGCCCAGGTGACTGAGTTTACCACGCAAACGTTACTCCAGCGCAAGAGATCACCCCTTGGCGTCAGTTAAAACCAGGGCTGCGCAAGCTGCAGCCACCGGCGGATCGCATCCTGCAAGCCAAATTTTTCTCTGAGTTATCACGCGGGCCACCTCACCGCCGTCGGCCGTCCCGCAGCCTCAGCCGGCTTCGCCCGGGTTGCATGTGTGCAAGTGAGGCAAGGCTTAGAGTCTTAAGCAAGGCTTACAGCCTCCTCGGCAGTCCCGCTTTGCCAGCACAAATCTCTGCGAGGGACTCTGGAGAGCAGAGCTGTGACTTGGGGAGGGAGGGAGGGAGGCGGAAGCAAAACTAAACCTCCAACTTGGAAACTTCAGTGAGCTGAATGTCAAGGAGCTGGAAAAGGACTGATGACTTTGTCCTTGGCATATTGCAGAAAAACGGTGGGGCTTTCTGAACAAAATACAGCGCGCACTCATTTTTACGCCGATACTTTTTTTTTTTCCCCAGTCTGCTTATTGCTTTCGGCGCTTTCCTCGTACAAAGGTTGGTGCGCGTGTGAATTTTTGGTCAGAATTCCCCATTTTACATCCGACTACATCCTGTAGTTTTCTCAGACTTCATCTTTTTCCATAGACACAGCACAAGCCGTCTCAGTGAGAGTGACTAATAGCTAAAAACTGCATGGCGCTGGGTAATTTCCAAAGGCTCTGTAGGACTTGTTTTATAATGTTTGTGGTTTTCGAGAAGTAAACAATAAAATGGGACAAACAACTGTTGTCTCTTGCCCCTGTTTATCTAGCTGAAAATACCTCTGCCACACCATTTTGCCAGAACCTACAGAAAGGCACCGCTACAACTACTAGTTATTAAAAGCCTACTGCAGGTGACAAAAGTGATGCTTTTGCCGAGATCACAATGTTCAAATTTCTTTTCAGCTTTTGTTCAGACGAGGGATGTAACAGGCCTAATAACGGTGCGGTGCTTGCCACGCAGCGACCACTGACATTCAGCCCCTCACGATCCTGCTCTCAAATTTTACTTTCTGTTTTTTATTTTACTGTTACAAGGAAGTCAGGTTCTTTTTATTTTCACTTGGTTCCTTTTTACTGAAACGTACTCTCAGTTGCACGTATCCATAGATCTGCAGATACCTCCAGTAAAACAGGAACAAGGCTAAATACTGAATCAAAGCCCCAAAAATAAAAATCAAGATCTGGAAAAGTAAACAAATAATTTAATTTGAATGGCATAAACAAAATGCCTTTTTTTACAGGACAGGTTGTATTCTAAGCTTTTGGTCCGTAATTTCATGACCAAGGAGCTGAACCAAAATTAGCCGGATCCTTCCAGCCTTCCCACCGAATACTTTCTCACTGAAAATCTTTGAAGGCATCACTGACTTCACCAGCTCACACGACACGGGCCTGTTCCCTCTCCTAATGCCCTGGCTCTAAAGGGTCATTTTAAAACGTGAATAATCCAGACTGTCTGTTCCCTTTTTGGGAAACTGGATTGATTCGTTTGCAACTGAAATTACAGATTAAAAAGTAAAGGTTTCTTAAAAGTAGGGGCGAAGGAGATTGTATTTAAAGATTTAGACAGAGGGCTAATTGACGTACAGGTTTGGGGGAGTTGTGTTGGGTTTGGTTTTGGTTTTGTTTTTTGAACATACGGAGTAAAGTACATTTTTAACAAAACCACTACTGGAATTCATCGAAAGAACAGAGGCAACATGAACACAGTTACCCTTAAGGGAAAAACAAGCCAAAGAATGGAAATGGTTTTTTCAGCCTTATAATGAATTATGTTTCTAATAGTTTTGCCACAACAAAGCATTTTATTGAAATGCCTGCTTTGTGCCAGATCAGGACACATACAATGTTATTTTAATGAGTTTTACAAGAGAACTAACATTGCCAGATGAGATACAGAATTTAAAAAAAAAAAAAAAAAAAAAGGCTTACTTGTTTTTCAAAAGCAGTTGGCACAAGCCGCCTCAGCTCTGATAAACTGTTATTTATACGATCACGGCGCCTTTTCTCTATAATCTATTCCCAAAAAAACAAAACACGTTAAGTTTATAAAAAATGTTGAAGGGCAAAATCACAGCACACATGCAAATTGTCACACAGGAAAAGAATTAAACACAACGTACCCCTCTTCTTTTCTTTCTGGCCATAATCTGAGATGTTGTTGTTGGGGAGTTTGATCGAATGACAGAACCATTACTTTGCCTGTGAAACGATAAAGTACGTCAGGTGTTGCGCAACTTGACGCTGCTCTTTGAAGACACCTTAGGTCACCGTATTACGTATGCACCGTCCCTCTCATGCCGTTTTCAATCCCTAGAAGATGTGCTTCGCAGTGCATGGTATTTTTAGAGAGAGACATTTCATTTTTGATTGCCCCAGCTAACGTTTTGAATTGACAGAACACTCTATTGGAAATAAAGTCCCTTTCTGGAGACAGGTCACTGTCCAGCGCAGCAGATTTCATTTTCATTGCACATAAAGCCCTGCCTACCAAACACAGGCTGAAGAACTGAGTCCAAAACCACATGCACCATCTCTATATGCTAACAGCAGTGGTAGGCACACGTATCCGATGCCACAACCTCTGCCTGGCCTGCTAGGTTTTGACATTCCTGCCCATTGCTACACAACTCAATAGATGCTCACGTACAAAGCCAGTCGTCCAGCCCGGGTCTCTTGTGTTGTCCCCCATCAGGAGCAGAATTCAAAATCCACTTTTAAAACTACACTACCCACGAGTACGAAGAGGCTTTTCTTTCATCAGGAGCGAGCAAAAAAATCCAGTAGCTTTTAATACTCATTTAGCCACTGATGCGGACCAGACAAGGCTCCAGTGCATGTGCCTCTAAATGGGCAAGAGCAGCTTTGGCGACCAGCACTGTCCCCGCAGAGCTCCCAGGGCTTCCTTCGGCGACCACCACCGCTCACCCTCGCCTTGCAGGGGGGCTTTGCTGAAGTTACCGTTCAGTTACGGTGCTTACTTTCCTTACCACCCTCCTTACTTTCCACAGCTCATTTCCCACTGGCGCCGATCCCCTTAGGTTGTTCACAAGGCCTGCTCAGGAGCTATTTTGGAAAAGATCTGATTGAAAATGGCAAATTAAGCGGAGCGAATGAAGGGCAGCCTGGTGGCTCACAAGCTATTTGAGTGCTCCGTGTAATTTCGGGCAGCCAGACCGTGGGGCAAATTCTTGGGGGGGGCCTCCAAAAAGCTACTACTGGACCTGGAGGGGGACAAAACCGCACCCCGCTTCGCACTGGGGGAGCCCCCCCCCATTCTCCCGACGGGGCGGCCGGGGGTTTCCCCCATGCTCTGCCCCATCCCGGGGCGCATCCCAGCCCCCGCCCCGGAGACGGCGGCCCCGGGGGTGCCCCACTTACCCCGAGTAGTTGTTCTCACTCCCCACGTCTATAGTCTCGTCCAT